ATGGAAAGACTAAACCCTAAAATCTTCAAAAAAAAGGGGGCCAATTTTGCGTAAAAAAAATCTAGACTTTTTTGCAATTTATCATTTTATTATATTGAATAAAAAAAAGGGTTCATTTGTTTATATTGTTAATGTAAAAAAAAAATGAAGTGCAGTTTGAGATCATTTCTAACCATTATGTTTAGTTATTATTTGCAGCCATGAGAAGTTTTATCAAATTTTTTATGTAGCACATCAGGTTAGGGATGGGAATCGAATTTGAATTAATCTAAAATCGATTCAGAATAAATCATTTCTTTTATATGACTTGGCTGATTATTTTACTGTTACGCAAAATTTGGTTAAAGTCCGATATTCCAAAGCAAATTTTGGTTGAATGATCACATGTTATGATCGGATTTATTTTTATTTAATTTCTTATTTTAGTTATTAATTATTTAATTTCTCAGTAATGTAGTTTTACTGTTAAAATTGAGCTATCCGAAAAATGAGGTCCTACGTGTTGTAATGAATAATCTAGTTCTTTTTACCAGATAGTTTCCTTTGTTATCAAATAGCTATAATTAAATTAGACACAGATTACCGCTCTTTAGAATAAAATAAAGTTATTAATTATTTAATAAATTGTATTAATTTTCTTTATTTGATTTGGTTTACAATGAAAATAACTTGCACAAAATTAATTAATCACTGATACATTAGAATAGATTTGATATTAGATGTTACTTCTGAATATTCATTGAAAATGAGATGTAATTTTTATATATATAGACTTGTATACTTGGCGTCAGAATTAATTATGGCATATGAAGCTTATACCGTAATATATTAAATCGCCATAATGGCGTAATTATTTAATGTCAAAAATACAAAAATTACACAAAGTAAGTAAATATTTTTCTGGTTATACCATAGTAATTTGTAATCCATAAATCTATAATGCTTGGTTTCGATGATTTGTTAAATATTTAAGTGATAAAATCCATATTTTATGATGCCATAATTTCAATTTGGCAATTTGACAGCACCTATAGCTCTTCGTTAAAATTACAAGAAAATCGTCTTAGATTTTTCTAATAATTATTATTATTTATTCCTCTTGTATCCAACAAATAGTCTCATCAATTTTTGTTAATCCTTACATAAAATTGCAATATAATACAATATTATTTAATCATTACCTTACCAAATTTACTGGTAACAATACCATCATTAATATTATATAATTTGCCAATTTATTAATTATTAATTATTAAATAAAATATTAAATATTCACATAAATAGATATTCATTTTAAACTATTAAAAATGGTGATCACTACAAGAAAAAAACATAAGCAAATGCTTAAAGAGGCAGAAGAAATAGTAGTAAAGAAAAGAAGTTCAGTACAAGAAATTGCAGATGAAAGTGAAAATGATTCTAATTATTTATATAAATCAGAAATTTTATTAGAGAAAAGTTTTATAACAATACAAGAAATTAATAATAACACAATATTTGAGGCATCAATATCTGACTTTAATATAATTATTAATGATGAAGTAGAAGTCAATAAACAGACTTTATTAAAGAAAGAAAGAAAGCCTCCATCTAAAATCTTTAATTTAATGATGATATTTTTTCAAAAAGCAGTTTTATTATTAGTAAAAAATCATTGCCATATCAAATATTAATATATATATAATTTTAGATAATACTAAAACTGTTTGTCAGATAATGGTTGTGAAAAAATGCTTGAATGCATAAAATTACAAAAGCTATTATAATAAGCGAGATATGAGGAAAAATTAAAAAAACTTAAGAAATCTAATAATATTATTAATCTACATAATTTTTCTAAATAAAAATCTTAACTAAAATATTATAGGTTTTGTTATTAATACAGTACAGCTCTTAAGTATAGTAGAAAATCCAGATTTTATTAATATGAAAGAGGCTTTGATAAATATTATAAAGTTTCATATATAAAACCTTTAAGAATTGAATTTTTGCAGCATATAATAAAGCTCTACATGAGCCAGCTTGAGCTGAGCCAAGGGCTAGCTCAGCTTGGCTCAGCTTGGCTTGTTCCAAAAGCTCACAAGCTAGCTTATTTCAAAATCATATAAAATTTATTATAACTAAAATTTCAAAACGTGATAACTTCGCCAATATTGCTCCAAATTTAATGATTTTACTACCATTAGATTCGTCTCATCAAGAGGAATCTAATGGTAGTAAATTCATTAAATTTGGAGCAATATTGGCGAGGTTATCACGTTTTGAAACTTTAGTTTTAATTTTCAATAAATCAAGCCAAGCCAGCACCAAGCCAAGCTATAACTGCAGCTTGGTTTAACTTGGCTTGGCTCAGCTTAAAAGCTCACGAGCTGGCTTGGCTCATGTAGAGCACTACTCTGGTGGTTGATTGGGCAGGAGTTAAATTGTCAAAATCAATTTTAGTTAAAGGAAGGTATAAATATTTGATTGACCAACAGTTGGAATATCTTATTAATTATCAAAGATTTAGGAAGAAATTTGGAGATGAAGGATTGAGGAAATTATTTAAAGAAGTTGATTTGTGGTTAGAAGAACCATCTAGATTATTTAGGAGTTACACTATTTTTTATTTTGCAGAGTTGTTCAAAGAGGAAAAGGTTATAACTAGTGATATCCAGTTGGAGGAAGAAACTTGGATTAGTCTTCAAGAAGCCCAAGTTGAAGTCTTTCCTAAATATGATATCTGAACGAGACATTCTTAGACCTCTCGAAAAGAAAAATAAAAAAAATAACTCCCCAAGAAGGTTAAAGATCGGAATTAGTAGGAGTTGGCAAAGGATGGATAAGCAAAAGAAGAGAATTAAAGTTTAGAAAATGGTTCTAATTTTTATTTATTGAAACTTTAGCTTGAATCTGCTTCTCTTTTAACTTCTAGATTGGATAGTTTATTTTCCAACCTAACCAATAAACTTTATCATTCTTCCTTTTCTTGTTTTAATTATACTACTTCAATAATTTAAATAAATAAGTTTTATTATACAATTTTTAATCGACTATACTAAAATAACCTATAAAAAGTAAAATTATTTAAAATATGAGATATACTTAATACTTACAGCGTATACTAGATAGGGCTGTGTAGTCCATGTATGAAACGTGATACTGTAACAAAGATCTATGAACGTTCGAATGCCATAACATGATATGAGAGCATTACATTATATAATAATGTACTGTATTCCTTAGGGTATAGTGACCACAAAGTTAACATTAACTAACATATTGATGTGAAAAAAAGAAGATAACAATTAATAACAGCTTGCTTTATTTTTTCATCTCGTACATACGTACATAACATGATATATTATTTTTAAGTAAGATTTTATTTTTATATTACCACATTGCTATAAACCAACGATTACATTAACGGAAACCACTATCATATTTCATTATCATAACTATTCTTATCATTTTTCCCTTTTTTGGAGTAAAATATGTATCTCGAATATACTTGATCTTGAAATGTCCTGCTTCTAAGTTACCCAATTGATGTAGTAACTTATGGAGAGGATGATTAGTCTTTGTCAGATCAGCTTGTAATTTTGCTTTTTCGACGACATTTGTCTAATATACGTACATACATAAATAAGTAACTATCAATTACCAACAGTTAATGCTAATATCTTATTTTGAAAAAAAAATAAGGTATCCAATGCACTACGAAGACATTAATATTCATAAGTTGTATTGGAAATTGAAAGTTGGACCTTCAAGTCCGAAGTACAATCCATTATCTTAAAGTTCTATTCCTATAATCTGTCCATATAGGCCTTAAATGACAATTAAAATGTTAACTATGAAATTGATTTGTAATTCATAGCATACAAATAAATACGCTTACCAGAAAACTGAATTCCTAAAATTTTTAATCTCTCACACTTTCGGCAGATGAGTCTTCTTTCAAAAAATTATTTAAAATACCTTTTAGTGTACGTAGACATTTGATCGGTCATGTACTATTTTTGTATGGAACTTTTGTACATTCTGAATAACAGTTCAAGATTATTTGCGATGCGAATAATTCGTAAATCAACACCGATCACACATTACGTTGGAAAGTGTCTCTCCCCTATTGTAAAGTATGAAATTAATACTCTTTATTGCTTATGTAAAATAAATGTATCAGTCTTACTAGCGAAGATTTATATATTCCTGATTACCCGCCGGTACGACTGGCTTCAATCATTTCCCTTTCAACAATTTCACGTACTATTTAACTCTCTTTTCAAAGTTCTTTTCATCTTTCCCTCACGGAACTTGTTCGCTATTGGTCTCTCGCCGTTATTTAGCCTTAGGAGAAATTTACCTCCCATCACAAACAACTTGACTCTTAGATGGTTCATTAAATATTTCTCTCATAATCGGTACTATCATTTCAATTGCATACTCAATTTCGCTTAGTTCTTTGCATTTTCCAGATTTATCAACAAAAATACAAGCATTTTATCTAACCTAATGATAAATTTAATATTAATTAGTGACTAATGTAGTTAGATCAAAAAACGAGATAAATTTTTAAACTCATACATAGAAATAACATAGAAATAAATATTTGCTATTTGCATTTGCATCTGAGAGATATTGCTAGTTTTGATTTTATATGAATAATCTCAGGCTTCATTGTATTTATATACGTCACACATCTATTAGTCAACAGACATAAAATTAAGTAAACAAGTAACAAATTAGTATGTGCATATGTTCAAAAGTTAATAAATAGTTACCTACCTCTTCGATGGTATTTATAAAAATTTTCACTTCCCCTCAAAATCTTTTGGTTTTCATGTCAACAATTTCATAAACCTTTTTTTTAAATTGTCCCAATCTTTTTCAAACCATGAATACATTCCACCTTTGAACTCGGAAGATAAATCAATTATTGAAGATGTTCCAATATCATAATATTCATCATCTTCCAATATTTCTAATCTGTATTTACCATGTTAGAAATTTCTTTTTATCTTTAATTTCAGAAAATAGGAGATCATACCTAATGCAATTATCTGTTTTTTTTATCTTTTCCTAAGAATTCTTTAATCTTTTCGGAAGTTTTTTTGTTAAGAACTGTGATAAGTTTTTGGCCGCCTTGTAATTTCCACTCGTAAACATGATCATCTATACGTAAATCAAGAGACTCTTTATCCAATTATCATCTTTAGAAGCTAGCTTAATTGTTTTCTTTTTTTTCCCCCTGTTTAGTAGATAGAAAATAGTAAAATTTCCTTAACTATTGTGAGGAACGTATATGACCGGTTCGAATCAGTAGATTATTTTAACAATTATTGATCAAAACAGGCTTTTTTTAAAAAAAATTACGTCCCTTACTTTTATACTTACTCTGATGAAACATTAGATTAGTTAGATCGTTTTTGTACAATTCTAATCTGTCTTCGTCCACCACGTCCTTTCTTTCCATTACGTAGACGAAGCCTACACAGTCAATGCTAGTTTGTTCAGTATTACGAGTAATTTCATCTTAACTGATAGCCGTACACCTGAATAAAAAAAATTTACTAAATACATTTTTTTGATTCTTCTGCAGTTTCTTTAAATTTTTTAGTTTTATCAAATGGTCGAGAACTTACCGTGACCCTAAAAATAATAAATTAGATAATTAGATTAATAATTATCCTCATTTAGAATTTAAACCTTAGAATCCTTTTTTAGATATTATTTAATATTAAAATCAAATTCGTGAAGTTGACTAGAGTCTCAGATAAGACTGGCAAATTTATCAAGTTCTTCAATATATGCAAGTTGAAGAATTTTTTGATAAGCAGCCAAGTTAAATTGAATAAAAATTTAATTGTTCCAATAAAACAACAAAAATAAGAACTAAATCATTTGTCATTTTAAGCTCTAAGAATCCAATAAACCTACTTTCTCTGGCCTTTTCAATAAAGAATTTAGCTAATACGAGTAAAAGATCTTACCAGAGAATAATTCCACCTTCCGTTAGAAATATAAAGAAATCAAGCATTTTTGGTCGAAGAAATAAATACTGGTTTTTTTACGATCAGTTCACTAAATGAGGCAACTTTTGCAGATGATAAACTACTACATTCATTTGATTTTCACGCGTTTTTATACTTGAATAACTTGAATATTACAATATATAAACCTCACGAAATTTACTGTTCTCTGTTTCCCCAATTTTCACAATTTTCATCCGCTGGAGTCGAATGCGTCACCAAAATATTACGTGATGTGATTCGAGCGTCTTTAATATTACAAAGAAAATTATCTGTATAATAGGTTCGTTCTTTAAAGAAAGTGGAGATAAGGCGGAACTTGTACCTACTTCATGTTAGACGATAGCATAAAACGAGAGAACTTATTCAACAAATGTAATGACGTATATATCATTGAAAAGGTTTCTTTGGACGTTGATTATTAGTTTGTACTAGTTGTTATTCATTATAATAAAGTGTTTATATCGCGCTCAAAATATTATCGCTAATACTTTTGCAATTTCACTGGACCCAAGAGCCTTGAAGGGAATTTTGTGGGGAATGATTATTGCATTGATATTTTTCACTCAAGCAAAAAAGATATGCAGATGAAGCGCGTATTTTACAGAACTCTATAATATGAACGAAAAATTTTATCACAGTGTTAAAGGAAAACTATCTGTAATTGTTCAAAGCGTAGCGAAGGTAAACCCGAGAGTCAAGACCATGCAAGTAACACGTTAACTTATTAATGATCATGTGAATATAACGCTTCGGACTTTATAATAAATGAAAATAGGTAAATCTCGAAACATTCGATTTTAAATGAAAAATTCAGATATCAAACACCATAAGCTATTGAAAATATATAGTAGTAATTACTTAGAAACAAAGAACATTACATGGGCGCTCTCTATGGCATGATAACTTAACGATGAAAAACTGGACGTTCAAAAAAAAAAAAAAAAAAAAAAAATATTCGAATCGCGATTTGCTTTCTTGACACCTTATTTTAGTCAAAACCTTTTAATTTTGAATTCACTGAAATCAGAATTCTCAAATGGAAATATTTACGGAAGATTTGATAAAGAGAAAAATCAAACCGAAGAAACTAAGGACTTCATTAATTTTTGTTGAAATGTTGTTGGTCGTTGATGCAGGCATCAGAACATGGTTCACACATAACAATCAGTATCGGTCCATTTATGAGTTTTGAACGAAACAATCAACAGATTGAGTGGCAGAATAAGTGAGAATTAGATTTTGTACAAGGATTAAAGTGTTCATTAAGTAAAAATTTTTCTAGTTCGCGAATCGAACTGTTTTTTTTAAAAAAAATCAAAGACACTTCTTAAGCGTATCTCATTTTTGTTGTTTGTTGTTCTCAAAATATTATTACTAATTCTTGCGGTCTCTTTTTTTTCGACATATTACATATATCACATAAAAAGGAACTAATGGGAATTTTTAAAAAAATTTGAAAGAACTTTTTTTAAAAAAAATATATTTGCATGATCATCTGTTTTAACTATAATAGTAAATAATAAATAAAAAAAAAAATTTTGGACTTCGGCCCTAAAATTTATAAAAATATAATTAATGTATTAATGTAAACGTGTATACATATACACACATATATATAATGAGTTAGCGAGCAAGAGATATTACGCAGGATTATTGGTTAGATTTACAAAAATATAACGAATTAGAGTGCTGAAAAGAAAAAAAACGCTTGACTACTATTCAATAGCAAATTAAACCTTAATTTTGTTCCGTTTCTCAACTACCCCCTGAAGAAACTTCTCTTATTTCCTATTTTTTCATACTTTCCTAAAAGCAAGTCCGACATTCTACATTAGCCGGTAGATTATGATCAACTTGGTCTAATCCACAATCCACCGGAAGGAGGTTCCTCGGTTTTCAAAAAAGAATATGTCAATTATATTTTTGATCACCTTCCTAAGAAAGAGGTTCGAATAAGTGTGGGATCACTGGCACTCTAATTACTTTCTCACTGACTTTTTCCTTAGCTCAAAGATTAGAGAAATTGGGAAAAGTGTGACTGTTGTGTTGGGGTTAGTGGATACTGGGTCTTTACCTACTGATAGGTTTATTTTGGAAGATATTGAGTATCAAAAAAGTATTACTTACACTGAACATTTAATAACCATCTTGCTGATTTTAAGGAAATTATTAGAAAATTAAGTTCCTATTTTGGTACTTAAACTACGAGATAGAGAAACAGAGTAGTTTAAATTTACACCAGAAAGCTCCGAGATAATTAGCAAAATAATTAATGAGAAACCAAACGGCTGGGATTGCGATCCGCTTGTTCGCAATGTGGTTTAGCAATAGATATAGGTTAACCAATTGTTATGAAGACATTAGGATTAGTTTTTAGAATATGAAACTACGGAATTTAGTTCGAGGTTTATTATTTACTGAAAAAAAAGATGTCCCCTATTTTTGGCTACGAGTTACGGGCAGTGACCAGGCTGGATTTTATCAATAACAACTCTTTATAAAGGAGCTGCTTTACTAGGTATTGTTATAATCAATTCTCCTCTGATTTTATAGTCCTTTGGTGGTTGATTGGGCAAGAGTTAAATTGTCAAAATCAATTTTAGTTAGAGGAGGGTATAAATATTTTATTGATCAAGGATTGAATTTTTTATTAGTTTCAAGGATTTAGCGAGAATTTAGGAGTTACGGTATTTTTATTTTGTAGAGTTGTTCAAAGAGAAAAAGATTCAAAATTAGAACAATCTATAACCATTACTAGTGATATCCAAGTTGGAGAAAGAAATTTGGATTGATCTACAAGTTGAAGTCCTTTCCTAAATATGATATCTGAAAAAGACATCCTTAGATCCCCTGAAAAGAAAAGATAAAAAAAATAACTCCCCAGGAAGCAAAAGAAGAGAATTAAGTTTAGAAAAAGGTTCTAACTAATTTTTATTTATCGAAACTTTAGCTTGAATCTGCTTCTATTTAACTTATAGATTGGACAATTTATTTATTGTTTCTTTTATGCGACTAGTTTATTTTGTTTTATTATTATGTACTTTGATTTATAATTAATAAAATTTTAGCGTAAAGCTGTTTTGCCAATAGATTGGATAATTTATTTTCCAACTTAACCAGTAAACTTTGTCATTCTTCCTTTTCTTGTTTTAATTCTAATACTTTAATAATTAAAATAAATAAGTTTTGTTAAAAGCTTTTTTTGAGAGTTATCAGAATCTTTAATTGATACAATTTTTTTAGAAAAAATTGATTAAACAAAGATTTTCAATTTTAAAATTTTAAATTTTATCTTATTTGTTTTATTTGTTATTTAAAGCCCTATAAAAAATATTTATATTTAATATATATTTAATATATTTAGAGTATATTATAATAAACTAATTTAAAAATTTGTGATATACTTAATACTTATAATACCGCGTATACTACGTGATAGTGTACCTAGTTTTTAAAACTAAACTTTCAAAAAAATATGAAATAAAAAATTCGGCAAAGTAGAAAAAAATTTTTTTTTCATTGTTAAAAACATATTGTCTAAACGCTATGATCATCTGTGTTTTCTCCCTTTAACTTGATTGTTTGTTTAACGTCCAGGTTTTCATTAAACAAACTAAATAAATAAACATAATCCCTATAAAAAATTTTATCCGTTATTTCTGTAAAAACTCCGTAAAAATGAGCCTTTCACGGATCCATTCAGGGAAAATGTAAATGATTCGATAAATTCCGTGATATAAGGTTATTAATTCAGCCTTTTACGGAATATAAAAAACGGATCGACTTTTTTTACAGAAACCCATAATTTGAAATGTTGTGTGATCATCAAAATTTAGATTTTTAAATGAAAGAGGGGGTAAACAAACAATCGTTGTAATGACCTAAATAGTAAATAGTAAATAGTAAATAACAATAATACAACATAAAACGTTTATACATATACACATATATCAGGTGACTGATATATCATATATAATGATTAGTTAGCGAGCAAAGGGATACTACCGTAGGACTCTCTCATAACTATTGAGGAGTGCGGGAGGATTATTGATTAGATTTACAAAAACATTACAAATTAGAGTGCTGAAGAGAAAAAAAACGCTAGACTACTATTCAAAAGCAAATTAAGCCGTTACCTCTCCACTTATTTTGTTTTCATTTTGTTCCGTTTCTCAACTACAGGAAACTTCTCTTATTTCCTATTTTTTCATACCTCCCTCTATAACAAACAAAGCAAGTCTGACATTATACATTAACCATTTGGCCGGTAGTATAAAATATATTATGATCATCAAAATTTCTCATGATGGTTTAATCAGCCATCCACCGGGAAGAGCTTTCAAAAAAGAATATGTCAACTATATTTTTGGTCAACTTCCTAAGAGAGAGGTTCGAATAAGCCTGGCAGCATTTCCCAATAACCCCCCTCATGTTGGCACTCTAATTACTTTCTCACTGGCTTTTTCCTTGGCTCAAAGATTAGAGAAATTGGGGAAAAGTGTGACTGTTGTGTTGGGGTTAGTGGATACAGAGGCTACATTTAGTACTGATAAGTTTATTTTGGAGGATATTGAGTATCAAAAAAGTCTTGCTTCCACCGGAAAAATTAATAACTATCTTGCTGATTTTGAAGAGTTATTAAAAAAATTAAGTTCCTATTTTGGTAACTTAAACTATGAGATAGTGAAAATGAGTAGTTTAAGTTTACACCCGAAAGTTCCCAAGATAATTAGCAAAATAATTAATGAGAAAGAAAAAATTGGATCGCTGCTATTTCCAAAAACCGGAGGGCTGGGATTGCGATCCGCTTGTTCGCAATGTGGTTTAGTAGATAAATATGGAGTAAACAATTGTTATGAAGACACCAGAATTAGTTTTTATTGCCCTCGACATGACCGATACTCAATCGATATTCAAAAAGATGGTTCACAAAAGTTAGAATTTGAAACTCCTCTACGAAATTTAATTCGAGGTTTATTATATACTGAAGATAATCAAGAAAAGGATGTCTCTTATTCTTGGCTACGAATTACAGGCAGTGACCATGCTGGATTTTATCAAGAACAAACTTTTTATAAAGGAGCTGCTTTACTAGGTGCCGACATAACCAATTCTCCTCTAATTGTTTATAGTCCTCTGGTGGTTGATTGGACGGGAGCTAAATTGTCAAAATCAATTTTAATTGAAGGTGGATATAAATGTTTGATTGACCAAGGGTTGGAATATCTTTTTAATTGGCGAAGATTTAAGGAGAAATTTGGAGATGAAGGATTGAGGAAATTATTTAAAGAAGTTGATTTGTGGTTAGAAGAGCCATCTAAATTATTTAGGAGTTACACTATTTTTTATTTTGTAGAGTTGTTCAAAGAGGAAAAGGTTATAACTAGCGATATCCAGTTGGAGGAAGAAACTTGGATTAGTCTTCAAGAAGCCCAAGTTGAAGTCTTTCCTAAATATGATATCTGAACGAGACATCCTTAGACCTCTCGAAAAGAAAAGATAAAAAAAATACTCCCCAAGAAGGTTAAAATCGGAGTTAGTAGGAGTTGGCAAAGGAGGGATAAGCAAAAGAAGAGAATTAAGTTTAGAAAATGATTCTAATTTTTATTTATTGAAACTTTAGCTCTTTTAACCTAGATTGGATAGTTTATTTTCCAACCTAACCAATAAACTTTGTCATTCTTCCTTTTCTTGTTTTAATTCTACTACTTCAATAATTTAAATAAATAAGTTTTGTTATACAATTTTTAGTAATCGACTAAACTATAAAAAAATTTTCAATTTGAAAATTTCAATTTAAATAAAATTTTTACTCAAACTTATAAAAAGTATTTATATTTAAAATTATTTAAAGTATATTAAAATATACTTATTTAATTTAAAGTTTGATACAGCGTATACTAGTGTTAGTGTAACAAATGCCATATATGAGAGCATTACATCATATAAGTAATATAAGTATAGGTAGTATAAATAGTACTGTATTCCTTAGGATATAGACATTAACATATTGATGTGAAAAAAAGAAGATAACAATTAATAACAGCTTGCTTTATTTTTTTCATCTCGTACATACGTACACAACATGATATATTATTTTAAGTAAGATTTTTATTTTTATATTACCACATTGCTATAAACCAACGATTACATTAACGGAGACCACTATCGTATTTTATTATCATAACTATTCTTATCATTTTTCCTTTTTTTGGAGTAAAATATGTATCTCGAATATACTTGATCTTGAAGTGTTCTGCTTCTAAGTTACCCGATTGTTGTAGTATCTTGAAGAGGATGATTAGTCTTTGTCGGATCAGCTTGTAATTTTGCTTTTTCGACGACATTTTTCTAATATACGTATATATACACAAATAAGTAACTATTAATTACCAACAGTTAACGCTAATATCTTGAAAAAAAATAAAGCCTCCAATGCACTACGAAGACATTTAATATTCATAAGTTGTGTTGAAAATTCGAAGTTAAACCTTCAAGCCCAAAGTACAATCCATTATCTAAAAGTTCTATTCCTATAATCTGATCATGTTGGCCTTAAGTAACGATCAAAATATTAACTATGAAATTGAATTGTAATCCATAGCATACAAATAAATACGAAAACTGAATTCCTAAAATTTTTGAATCTCTCACACTTTCGTCAGATTAGTTTTAGTGTACGTAAACATTTTGATCAGTCATGTACTATTTTTGTATGTAAAGGAACTTTCGTACATTCTGAATGACTTAGTTCAAGATTATTTGCGATACGAATAATTCGTAAATCGCCGATCAGACATTACGTTGGAAAGTGTCTCTCCCCTATTGTACAGTATGAAATTAATACTATTTATTGCTTATGTAAAAATAAATGTATCAGTCGGTCTTACCAGCGAAGATTTATATATTCCTGATTACCCACCGTACGACTGGCTTCAATCGTATCCCTTTCAACAATTTCACGCGCTATTTAACTTTTCAAAGTTCTTTTCATCTTTCCCTCACGGTACTTGCTCGCTATCGGTCTCTCGCTATTATTTAGCCTTAGGAGAAATTTTACCTCCCATTTTAAGCTACAATCACAAACAACTTGACTCTTAGACGTATCGTCAAATATTTCTCTCATAATCGATGCTATCATTTCAATTGCATACTCAATTTCGCTCAGTCTTTACATTTTCCAAATTATCAACAAAATACAAGCATTTTTTAAAAATTTATCTATCCTAATGATAAATATAACAATATTAATTAGTGACTAATGTAATTAGATCAAAAGCGAGATAAATTTTTTAAACTCACACATAGAAATAAATATTTTCTAATTGCATTTGCATTAATTCAACAAATTTGTGTAAATTTCTAAATCCTGGTTCTTCATCCTGGAGAGGTAATGGTAGAGTCTACGCTTAAGAATAAAAACAATCCTGTGATTGTCTGACAAGTTGTATTGCTAGTTTTATTTTATATGAATAATCTCAGGCTTCATTGTATTTATATACATCACACATCTATTAGTTAAATCGACATAAAATTTAGTAAACAAAGTAACAAAATAGCATATGCATATGTTCAAAAGTCAATAAATAGCTACCTACCTCTTCAAAGGTATCTATAAAATTTTTCACTTCCCCACACACACGCGGGACGGGGCGTAGCAAAACATGCAAATGTAATGGTGTAAATGAAATCTTCTTCTCTCCCATACCAACAGATTGGTGTAGCACAATTCACTTATTTGAACATTTAGTTAGGTTCAAATCTGTTGATTCTTTTCTGCAAATCATTAATTTTAGTTGAGGATTTCAAATTTTGTTTTAAAACTCTAATCTCGTCCGCAAGGCAGCTATGAGATTGGTGTATAGTAGTCTTTTGTTTTTCAAGGAAGTATTCATCCCACGATTTAATGTTCCATGTGGTGGAAGGAAGCAACCAGTAATCTGATTTAGGATACAGCATTAGATTTTTTTGTTATATTAAACCTTGTATACGGGTATACCTTTGACAACAAATGAAATACTTACCGCTTATGTCTTACTTTAAAATTGCTTTCGCCTTTCGTATAAAACTATGCGTGAACATATACATACCAGAATAAAAATAGACTAATTAAACCACCCCGACTAGCCACTACTGATGATAAATAACGTCAAATGCTTAAAACTTACTTCGACACAGTAGAAAAAAAAAATTAATACGATTTTTGCATGAAGACCATATGACAAACTGTTGTGGAACAATTGGGCAATCAATTTTCTGTGCTACCGTAAAGCACATGATTCAATTGATTAGACATAAAGACAATGTTTTTGTATCCTTTAGCTCTATATTGATATTTTGACAGAGTAATATAATGATGTCTTGATGGTAAAGGCTCTAACGGTGGTATATAACAGATCACTTCCACTATCGATTTACGTGATCGTATACTGGGCGATCAAGCATCTTTAATATTAAAAAGATAAGATAGTTCTTTATAACTTCAAGTTTACGCCATAAAGTAAGAGGAGATAAGGCAGAGCTTTCACCTACTTCATGGTGTTCATTAATTAGATGATAGCATAAAACGAGAGAGCTTATTCAACAAGTGTATGATACCATTTTGATTGAAGTCATAAACGATCTAAGAATTGGAATTTAAAATGGTTTACTTATTATTGGTTTATAATCTTTCACATTGATATATGAACTTATTTAGATACTTTTGTTTCAATTTTTTTTATATTTTCGAAAATCAAACCTTATAAAAAAAGTTCCCCAGGTCCACTACTCAAATTGATGTTCACCTAGACCGATTTTAATATACTTTTTCCAATAAATTCAAGCGCGCTGTGTAAGGACAAATCAGGATCTTCGATATAAGATAGATCAAAATACAAGCAAAATACAAGCGTACAAATAACATTAAGGTAGCAGCATAAAAGATTTAAGATTTATAATGGTTATAATATTTTATTTATTCAATAGCGAAATTTATCTAATCAAGATCATATTAAAGTTTTATTGATTTTATGTTTTTCAATAACAGAGATGAAAATTAGAGGTATCAAATTTTATTTGTGCTCTTTTTAACGAAAATTGTAATAATTACATTTTCTATTAGCGTTAGATATTGTATAATAAATATAATTATTAAATATTTATTTTGATTAAACAAATTGAACAAATTGTTGGGAAACTTGTATAATTTATTTATTAATTTTTATATATAGTATTATGAGAAATCATATTTATGCTGACTATGTTTAATTTTTTATAAAATATTCAAGAATTTCATTAACGTCGATTCTAATAATTTTGAAATTTATTGTTTCTCGCTGATTCAACAGATTCAATGAAAACATTAAAACATTAGTAAATTTAGTTTTCTAAAATTTTATTGTTTCTGTAAATAACGATAACAAAAAGGGTCAAACTTAGTAATGTAAAACCATTAAATTTTAAGATAAAAGTGTTTCGATCAAATATAATATCAGGAAAAATCATGTGATATGACGCCAGAATAAAAAGAAGATTTAGAAATAGATTTGTTTTCCTCACATGTCTCAATGTCTCATGTATTAAAACGATCATATCCATAACTGTTGTACTAGTTTATTTATTTCGAACAAAGCATATATTTACCGGTTACATTCATTTCCTTTTTAGAATAATCATGGATCGTAACGATAAACTGAAGGTAAATAGCGTATTTAGAATTATTCACAGTTTTAAAACTAGTTTCAAAGTTAGCACCAAGGAATTTAAAGGTAAAATATAATATACTAAACAAGCTGAAATATTAAAGTTTTTATAAATGGGAAAACTTTTTCTCGTCGAATCATTAGATTAAGAAAAAAAAGTTGAAGAAAACCGACTATATAAATAGAGCCTTATTATTCATACACGAGAAGAGTACACCAAATCTGTATTTTAGGATGATAAAGTTTTTGGAGAAACGGTTAAACATCCAAAGTAAAAATGACATGTACACTCGTACAGAAAATGATTGATTATTTTATTACGTATTTACTAGTAGATAAAGATGTAAAGATGAAAAATAAAGTGAATTTTCTAAAATAAAACTTCGAATTAGTAATCATTTTTAGTTTTATTTAAATATTACTTTAATTTGATTATTAAAAATAAAAAAAAAAATTTTAGATTAACCATACAAAATAATCTAACATATAGTAAATTATTAAAAATATACAAACGATGAAATGAATTTTATTTTTTCTTTTAATTAATTGGTGATTGGTCGAATATCTAAATATAATGTACTGTATAACACCCATTTGATACATAAACTTTCGTTTTCTATTTATTTAATTAGGACATACATTTGGTTATATTGTAAGACTTTTAACACATACAAATTTACAGAAGAATTTGAGAAGCGATTTTTTTTTATGTATTACACATAAAATTAGTGAATCAAATATTAATATTTCATAATAAAGTATTTCATAATTTTAATATTTTATATCCTTCTACAGAAAATTTACCTTCAGACAAAGTTTCAAGTTTTATCAGACTTAAAACATAAATTTATGTATCCTCTTTTTCTTAAAAAAATATATAAAGCTATCATTAGTAGTATCATAAGTCATAACGAAAAAAAGTTTTCCATAAAATCAGATTATACCCACAGATACGATCGAAAAATACATGAAGAGATGTCTTGATGAAGAGACTCCGGAATCGATATCGAAGCCAATTAAAGAAAATACTACACCAAAAGAGGTAGTGGATATCATCAACGATTTTAGAAAAGAAGAGAAGTATCAAGAAATTATACAAACCTCATTAATCAACAACGGTCATATTGACATTCATGGAACTGAAGAAGGAAAGCAATGCACAAATATTTTCATTATTTAGACGCCCTATAAAAAATTTTATCTGTTATTTCTGTAAAAACTCCGTAAGAATGAGCCTTTCCCGGATCCATTCACGGAAAATGTAAATAATTCGATAAATTCCGTGATATAAAGTTATTAATTCCGGAAATATGAGCCTTTTACGGAAAAAAGATGGAATAAAAAAACGGATTGACTTTTTTTACGGGGACGCTAAAAATAAAAATAAATCTATTAATGAAAGAAATGAATGGTGCGGTGTACAAGTATGCCTAGGTTTTAGCAAGCTCGTGGTTAGAATGCCAGGGTAAGAACGAAGTGATTCCTGTAATAATTGCGCAAAGAACGGTATCGAATGAAGAAATACACGCTTCTTGCCTTCTTTATACCATCATTTTCCACTTGTGTCTTTTATGGTGGGCCGGATAACCTTGCCGAGCAACTAGCGTTGACTTCATGATATTTGTTAATGCAGAAAAGGGGAGATCGTTAAATAAGAAGAATGGCAAGAATAAACAAAAAGAGTTAATCAAACATAGTGTTAATATAGTTTTTAAATAGGGCTACAAAATGTTATACAACCCTATAGAATATGGGTTGGTAGATAGTGTATAATTTTATACTGCTATGCATATCTTGTCTTTATTTAATGTACTTTGTTACCATATTTTAATCAATAAAGAATGAAATGCGCGTTACCATAAAATAAAATAAATAAAATAAAATCCGATTATATCCTCCAAGGATTTCATTACTATCTTTCACTTTAATAATCGTTTCAGTATGAAACGGTAATTTCCAATCTATCAATTCCATTTCGAAATTTCCTGGTTCTGAATCATGATCTATAAAATGGGCACGAATAAACTGGATATCTATTTAATAAATACGGATGTCGGATAAATTTGTGTGATTTCAATCCGTGATGGATTATCTACGGCAGTCGGATCGCATCTCATCGAATCCTGTTATAATCTATTTCATTGTAGCTGAATATTTTTCTAATAACGCCTTGATTAATCCAGCGGATCTTTAGTATAATAATAATCGGATATTTAATTTTTCTGTTTCGTTATAGCTAAATATTAACCTAGTTTTTGCTGCAATTATCCGTGGCGTATTGAGAAAAAGAATCATATAAAGGAAAAATTTTTTATGGCAATGACCCGACCTAGCCCCACGTTTATCCATGAATGAATTAATATTGGTGTTCATTTTTTTTAATAAAAAAAATTATTATGATCAAATAAACGATTCCTCCTTTCGATAAAACTTAAGATCAAAATGAATTAGAACGATGTTATCTATTTAAACATTCCAGCAATATTTTCTAAATTTAAAATTCCTAATCTTATAACGAAAAAAAAAATGTCAAATAGAATGGTAAATCATAATAAACAAATACTATATTCAATACATAAATCTTTATTTGTGTTTTAAAATTTTCTTGGTTTAACTTTAATAAATAATTCTTTACAAACTGTAAGTAAAGCAGAATGATAATTAAGTGGTGCATTTGGATCTGCCAATTCAATATCATATTTTCTATAAATTAATGATAATAAACATTTTAATTCTATCATTGCTAATTTTCTACCAGGACAGGCTCTAATTCCACCTCCAAAAATTGAGAAAGCATTTTTAACGTGTTGTTTTTCAAGAAAATATTTATCACTATCATCAATTTTATAAAATCGATCAGGATCGAATTTTTCAGGATCAGTCCAATAATCCTTTCGTTTCATTATCGAGCAGTAAAGTATTGAAAATGAAGTTTTTTCTGGCCAAACATATCCTCCAACCGTATCCTTTTCAACACTTACACGGCCAAGTGAATAATTTACAGGACAATGACGAGATACTTCCTTAATAACTGCATCACAATATTGTAATTTATCGATATCATTATGCGTTATGGGTTTTGTAACGTCCTTTCCAAGAACTTCATCAAATTCTTGTCGTAACCGTTGTACCACTTCGGGATGATGTCCGAGATGATATACGATGAAGCAAAACAAATTCGAAACCTAAAAAATTGTAAATGAATTTTTAAAATTAAATGCGTAATATATATAGTATTAGTTTTAATGAAAAAATTTTTCACTCACAGTATCAGTTCCTCCACCTATAGCATCGAGTATATTACCCAAAATTTCTTTGTCAGTTATCGGTCTTAACAAATCCGCATCAACATCACCATGTCTCACAATGTTAACATCGCGTGGTGTATTCGCAGTTATAAATGATGTCAACATATCATGACGGAGAGGTTGATTTAATGGTGTATTCTCAATTTCAGTCCTTCTTTCTTTAATAATATTATATAATTTTTCGTATAGATAATCTCTATTTTTTAATAAACTAATTGCTTTTCCACGAATGAAAGGAACATAATGGCGCATAAATCTATTAAAGTAAAAAAAATAAATGGCTCCTCTTATTAACGTTTCAAGTGATTGAATAAAATCTTCAGATTCTTTGATTTTTTCTTTTTCTTTTTCATCTAAATCATTACTTTCAGGTACGAGGGTATGATAATAAGAAGCAACAGAATTATTTCTTTTTCCTATCGAAATTTTAAAAATCATATCATTTGAAAATCTATGCATCCATTTTATAAGATCCAATTCATGATTTTCTCCAAGTTTATTCCAAAAAGATTCCATTTCACTCCATAATTCATTCATCCATTCAACAGCTTGATAATTAAAACTTGGGGTCATCATAGCTTGAACGAAAAATTGACGATTATATTTCCAAGATTTTGGATCAATATTATTAATTATTCCTGTGCCATCTATTCCATATTCTTTAACTCCTTCTGAAACAATATATCTTCTAAAAGGATATCTAGTTTTTGTTGAAGGTATGTTCATATTTTCAATTAAATCAGTATTACATAAGATGATTGTACGTTGTCCCGCTAAGCTTAATTCAAACATATCTCCATATTTTTTATGTAATGACATTAACCAATCATTAAATTCATATCCTCTTTTTTGATGAATATTACCAACTATTGGAAGTGGTAATGGACCAGGTAAAGGATTTAGACGAGTGAAATAATGATAATAATATCGAGATACATAAATAATTATGAAAGTTACGAGAAGATAAAAAATATCGGAAACCCCTAATGAAAAAACAATTGTCGATATCATTGTTGAGAAAAAAGAAATAGAAATCGACGGGAAAAAAAAAAAAATTGTAAATCACAGCACATATTTACATATTTATCATTATCTAAGGTAACACACTAATTATCTGGTTTACACAAAAAATAGAGTTTGTCAATAATGGACAATGGGGGGCACTTATCTCGGCAAAAATTTTCTGACAAGAGTTAAAAAAAAATGGAATCTTATCATACGAGAAATGAATTTGAGAATATATTTTATGAAAGATTCAATTTTTTGTTAAACACTTCGGAAATATAGGACAGACAACGAGCACTGAAGAAGTTTTCGGGAAAACAGTAAAACTTCCAACGCTTTATCAATAGCATAAGTCAACATACTATACATACTAGATTATATCCTGAAATATAGAACTTTTATTTAAAAGTGAAGAAATAGGTATGAAATATAAAGAAATAATTACCTTAGAAACTTGCTGCAGCAAGCGCAGCAAAATAACGCAAAGAGAGATCGTTTCCGATAAATTCCGTCAAAAGGATGGAAATATGATACAAGAAACACGTGACATAATGATATATCTCTAATAAACTATTAAATTATCAAAAAGTAAGAGCACAGATACATAATTCAAAATAATTCAAGAGGTTTTTCTGTTGTATAATATTTGAATAGATACACGCACGATTTATATGGTATAATGGTGAATGGACATTTCCACAAAGATGATGAGATCAATGGCAATTAATAAAAGAAATTAAGAACATCAAAAAGACGAGGAACGCCATTTGAGAGTTGATTCTATGGAAAAATATGACGCTAAATAAATTCTTCAAGATCGACAAAAACAAATAGCGATAGAAAAATTAATTTAAGAAGAAAAGATGGAGAAAGTGATAAAAATATATCATTTTTGGATTCCCGTCAAAAGTCATAAACAAGTTATCAATGGAAGTCATCGTACAAAAAGATGATCGAGTTGGAAAAAACGATAACGGAAAGTTAATGATGAGAAGAAGATAGTGATATATCGACCTCAAATTTAGTTCATTATCCGCCAATATCGTGGGAAAATACCATAAATATACGTGAACGAGAACGATAAAAAACTTGAGTCGTCAAAAAGAAATCACAAGTTCCAAGATGTATTCGGAGAAAGTTATAAAAGTACGAAAAGAAGAAAGACAGTGAACTTATCATTTAAATACTTAAATCAATAAATAGATAGGATTTTAGATAAAATAAGAAAATTACAAAACATCGAAAAATTTAAAAAGTCAAAAATATAAGAAAATTAACATGTAGAGTTCTACATTCGTATACCTGTATTTAGTTTTTTTTGTAGTTAATTTAGTGGGTAGCATAGCGTAGTAGAAAATATAGCGTTATTTGCTGCTGTATTTGTATAGAACTGATCTTCAATTTAGTTTAAGTATTTGTAAAGGTGACCTGAGTCCTGACATTGTTGAAAATAACTCCACAATATTATGTAGATTTGATGAAAAAGTGCTGGCATGAAGATCCATTAAAAAGGCCATCTTCTAAGAAATGCATGTTACCAGTTACCATCCATCAAGTAACATGACTAGTGGATGAACTATTTATCCTTTGTGTGGCATTTAGTCATCATTCTATCATCATAGACTTAAAAAAATTGGACATTAATAGATTGAAAGTATATTAAATCTCTAAGATATCTTGTAAAGCGACTCATCGCTATCATAAAAAAATATATTCTTTAACAATTAATTGTCTCCAGGTTGCGAGATCTTTTTTTTTTTTAAAAAAAAAAATTAGTATTGCTTGGTGCAGATTTTCCATCTCTTTAAATTTTAATAAATTTGTTTGCAATGATTGATGAACAAATCTAATCCCTTTTCACTACCACATATATTTTACTGAATTCCTGTGTTAGATAGCGTATAAAAAAAGTAAAGTTGCAATAACTACGCTGGCACTACTTCTAGGCGGCTCAGTTTTAAAATCACTAGCGGGTTGAGAAGCAAAAGGTGATTTTTCATTCTCAAAAGAAAATAAGTATATATTACTCTGAATATACTTATTTTATATTTGTGAGTTAGAGGTGGAGCTTTGGGTGAAGCTAAAAATATAAAATGAAGCTTTTGTTAAGACAAAATGATTCATCTTTTGTAATTTAATTCATTTATTAATTCATCAGATCTTGTTAAATTATTTTATTTACTTTGTTATGACAAACAATTGAATATTCCATATTTCTGTGTCATGAGTTTGTATTTTTAGTGAATAAACCTAATTCCGATCCATTTGCAACGAGAGCAGATGGCCTTTTTAGCGAGAAATTGCCATAATTGAGAAAACCGTTCAGGCTGAATGATTTTATCAACTGTTCAAATTGAATTTGTTTATAGGCTTGTATAATAAACGATCAAAATTATAACGTTATATATCGTAACAGAAATAACATTCAAGAATACTATGATTCTTCCCTGTAAAAAAAGTTGATCCTTTTTTTTAATATTCCATCTTTTTTCGTAAATGGCTCATATTTCCGGAATTAATAACCTTATATCTCGGAATTTATCGAATTATTTACATTTCCGTGAATGAATCCGTGTAAGGCTCATTTTTACGGAGTTTTTACAGAAATAGAGTTTGGAATCGATTAAGGTTAATCGATTAATTAATCGACTAAGACGGTTAAATCGATTAAGGTATCTCAAAAATCGGTTAATCGATTAAAATTATCAACCCATAATTCTGGTCAAATTATCTAATGCGGCCCAGAGCTGTGAATTTTTGGTCACGTGTTCTCCGAACTTGGAAGNAAATAAGACTTTCTATAACTAAATGTATGATCTAAAACAATTTGGTGCAATCTGCGGTCAAAAAAAAAAAAAAATTTTAATATTTTAATATTAATCGATTATTAATCGATTAGGGCCCTTCAGCCCTTGGTTAATCGATTATTAATCGATTAAGGTTTTTTTGGTCGGTTCCAACCTCTATACAGAAATAACGAATAAAATTTTTTTTATGGCTTATATTTATTTGGTTAGTACTATTATGGACACATTTTTCCGAATTGGAATCTCAAGAATAATATAATTTAAATTTTATATCAGTTCTGACTTCTGAATGAATACTTTCATAGGCATGTACATGAATATAATACTGTATTAATTTAGAGCTAGCCATAGTGCGGGCCAGGGCGATTTTTCTTTATTGATAACTATATTATAAAGTTAATTATTCAATGGATTTCTCGTAAAATACTGATTTTATATAAAAAAAACTTTTATTTAAAGTTAGCGAGAACTCACCCATAAATAATGTACTAATTAATAACCTAATAAATAAAAACTTTTTAATATCGATATTATATATATTCTTGTTGTTAAAATCCTATTCTCATTTCAATTTTTATTGTGTACGTAATAAAATATAAGGAAGAAAAGCAAATAGATCACATCATAATCTATCAAATTATTAGATTTGCAGATAAAGTGTTCATACAATAAATAATTATACGTAAAATATTGCCAAATAATAAATTTAAGTTTGAAAGACTTTTGTATTTTAATGATCTGGATAAAGTTCTATATCTGATTTAAAATTAATTACACAAAACTCGTGTGACATGACAAGCGGATGAACCATTTATCCATTCGGATTACGCGACATTACGAAATATAGTTTTATAGTTTATATTTATAACTGAATTATTAATACAGATGCATGTATACTGTATTACAGGAAGAAATCGATTTTATTTTGTATAACAAGTGATAGAGCTTCCATTAGTTAAAAAAATTATAGAGGTTTCGTGAGTTGATCGTGTGATAAATATATATATTTTTTTAAAAGGGAAATTATTCAAATATTTTATATTCATTTCTAGTAAATTCTGAACCTGCTGTTCGCATCTTAACTCTAGCAGAGCGTTATCATATCTAACAAGAGCGATTCATCTTTCAGCAAACGAGATCAAATATACTTATTATATTGACCGTATTACTCAAGGAGTGTCCAGTGCGATAATTTTTATGAACATAAATACTGTATAAAATTTATACTGACTATGTATGATGCATCAGCTTCTTTTTTGTTATTATTGAAATATATGCAAACATTCGGAAAAATTAAAAAATCATATAACAATGTTATAAATTAGTACAAAAGCGTATTATGCTCACTGTATATTAGTTTTGATAATGATCCTACGAAACCAATAATTATTTTAAAATTTACTGACTTGGAAATAATGACAAAATAAATTTAACCTTAATAACCAACCATAAATATAGTCGGTATATCTACTCATCCACGCATTAACTGTGTCAAACACTCTAATCAGAAATTAATGCGAATAAAACATCATTTGACTTGCGATTAAATTAAGGTTTCAAAGGTTCAATACACATTAGAAGTCTCTTTTTATAAATAAATAATTGTAAATTACGATAAATTTTTTTAGAATAGTAACAAATAATAAATAATAAAAAAAATGAAATAACGGTTACCCAAAATTTTTTATAACACTAATATATATATACAAAAATTATATTTCATTTTCCCATAATTTTCTTGGTTTAATTTTAACTCGCATATCTTTACAACCTGTGATGAAACCAGATTCATAATTGATCGGCGCATTTTTATCTACCATTTCAATATCATATTTTCTATAAATCGAGGCCAATAAACATTTTAATTCTATCATCGCTAATTTTCTTCCAGGACAGGCTCTAATTCCACCTCCAAAAATTGAGAATGCAGTTTTAACGTATTGTCTTTCAAGTAAATATTTATCATCTTCATCAATTTTATAAAATCGATCAGGATCGAATTTCTCAGGATCAGTCCAATAATCCTTTGATTTCATTATTGCACAATAAAGTATTGAATATGAAGTTTCTTCTGGCCAAACATATCCTCCGACTTCATCTTTTTCAGTACTTACACGACCAAGTGAAAATGCTACAGGAAAAAGTCGATATACTTCCTTAATAACTGCATCGCAATAACGTAATTCATCAATATGTTTATATGTTATTTGTTTTGTAGAATCATTTCCGATAACGTCATCCAATTCCTGTCGTAATCGTTGCTTAACTTCAGGATAACGTCCAAGATAATATGCGACGAAGCAAAACAAATTCGCCGTCTATAATTTTAAAAAGATTAAAGAAAGAGTTAAATAAGTAATAAAAAGTTTTCCTTCCCAATATTAGAATGATGAAGCATTATTCCCCCAAATATTTAGGATAATTTTTTAATATGAATTTACTTACTGTATCAGTTCCTCCGCCCATAGCATCGAGTATATTACCAAAAATCTCCATGTCGGATATCGGTCTTAACAAATCAGCATCAGTGTCACCATGTCTCACAACGTTAATATCACGTGGTGTATTCGCGGTTATAAATGATGTCAACATATCATGACGGAGAGGTTGATTTAATGGTGTATTCTCAATTTCAGTCCTTCTTTCTTTAATAATTTTATATATTTTTTCGTATAGATAATCTCTATTTTTTAATAAACTAATTGCTTTTCCACGAATGAAAGGAACATAATGACGCATAAATCTATTAAAGTAAAAAAAATAAATGGCCCCTCTTAATAACATTTCAAGCGATTTAATAAAATCTTCAGATTCTTTAATTTTTTCTTTTTCTTTTTCATTTAAATCATTATTAGGTACAAGAGTATAATAATAAGAAGCAACACAATTAGTTTTTACTCCTGTTGAAATTATAAAAATCATTTCATTTGAAAATCTATGCATCCATCTTATAAGATCCAATTCATGGTTTTCTCCAAGATTTTTCCAATAAGATTCCATTTCACTCCATAATTTATTCGTACATTCAACAGCTTGATGATTAAAACTTGGAGTCATCATCGCTTGAGTGAAAAATTGACGATTATATTTCCAAGATTTTAGATCAACATTATTAACTATTCCTGTACCATTTATTCCATATTCTCTAAATCCTTCTGTAACAAGAAATCTAATAGGATATTTTGTTTTAGTTGAAGTTATATTCATATTTTCAATTAATTCTGTATTACATAATATGATAGTACGTTGTCCAGCTAAATTTATTTCAAACATATCTCCATATTTTTTATGTAATGACATTAACCAATCATTAAATTCATATCCAAATTTTTGGTGAATATTACCAAACATTGGAAATGGAAGTGGACCAGGTAAAGGATTTATACGAGTGAAATAATTATAATAGTATCGAGATACATAGAGAATTATGAAAGTAATGGAAAGATAAAAAATATCGGAAATTCCGAATGAACTAAATAAAGAGATAATTGATATCATTATTGAAATATTTATTCTCTTTTTAAAAGAATATAAATATTAAATTTTGGAAGCGTGTTTATTGCACATTTATATATTAAATATACAATAGATTTTTTTTCTTTAGTAATTGTTTAGTTAATGTCCATTTATGCAAGATTTTACATGATAATGAATTTAAATTCCTTGTGTCATATTTCGGAAGGGAATTTTCCCGTATGCTACCAAATTAAAACCTTTGTCTCAACAATTATTTTTTTTTTTAAAGAACCCGGATTAACGATTTGGAATCAATGGCTACATTCTATGTATTTTTAAGGTGACACAAATAATTACTATCTATAAATTTCTTAAACTCCTTATTGTTACCAAGTAAACGTATTCTATATCTAGTTATGTTAGAAAATTTGTGCGACTTTGTTACCAAAATAAGAAAACTCCTAACCTGCCAGATGACGATCTCGGAAAACTTACGGAAATAAGCTTAGCCATATTACAATAATTGTTTATTGGACGTTACAGTTTTTCAAATATCTCGAGGTTAGTTGTATATGATTATTCAATAAAAAATATATTGAAGATTTTAACAAATTAATACCAGTTAAAATAATTTTAATATTTATATTTAAATTTAAAATAAATATGAACATGCATGTGAAAATTAGATGATATCTATGTTACATTTCAACCTTCTTTCGAAAGTGGTACGATAAATTATTATTTTAAAATGTAACCAAATTATTCTAAATTTGGACCCGGTTCAAAAAAAGCAGGTGCATCGGGTATCTCCGATAGAATTGTAGGTGGGATACTGCCTCATACTGGGATATTATGCTGATCCGGTAAATTGGTAACAACTCCAGCCGATTGCCAAATTTTGTATATTTTTTAACGCTGATCCACGTACCATTGCAATAATAATAGCAAAAAATTACATACTTACAGATTCTAAACAATACATGCTAAAAATGTCAACTCAAGGAGAACGATAATTTATAAAGTACATAAATATGTTTCGTTATTTTATAATTTTTTTGTCTAACCTTATCTTTATAGCTGTAAGTGAACTTGAATCATAATTAAGTTGTTCTGCCATTTCTAAATATTGTGAAAGAATTTAACCTGTTGTCTTTCAAATGAATATTATCACTTTCTTCAGTCTTGTAAACTTATCAGAATCGAATTTTTCAGTATCAGTCAGATAATCTTTAATCATTGCGTCTCACAAAAAGCTAATAACTTTAACATATCCAATCTGATATATTAAAGAGAATCCTTTAAGCTATAATATTATCGGTTTACTTTTCAATTTAATTAAATTTTAATGAAATATTGAAATTTAGAAACTTAATGAAATATTGAAATTTAGAAACTTAATGAAATATTGAAATTTAGAAACTTAATGAAATATTGAAATTTAGAAACTTAATAAATTATTTAAATTTAGAAACTTAATGTATTATTTAAATTTAGACATATTCTGTTTTTATTCAAAGAATATAGATGCGCCGCAACGATAATTAAGAAATGATTGCCATTGGAAAAATTTTTCCTATCTCCAACTGTAAGGATACTCGAAATATAAAAACAAAATAATTATGTAGATCTTGCCTTTTATAGATAAAAAAATTTTTATTACACTTTTTAGATACTGACTAACATTATCTTAATTCTGGCCCTGAGCATAATACTGTAATAAATCAGAACAGTATTAATCACTGCTTTCCCTATTTTAAAAGAATCCGTTATTAACACCCTTTACGATGAGAAAATAATCAGTAGTGAAAATAATAGACGTGATGTAATCCATTCGGTATAAATATAAAGACATAAGCTCTTTACTTACATCCTTTTTTACATTAAAAAAAAAATGATATCCACAGTTATTTTTTCATTCGGAATTATAATTCTCTATGTAACTAGATAGATATTATTATCATTATTTCACTCGTCCAAATCCTTTACCTGGTCCATTTCCCACTTCTTGGTAAAAGAGGATTGGAATATAATGATTGGTTGATGCTAATGCATAAAAAATATGAAAATATGTTTGAAATAAATATAGCAGGGAAACGTACAATCGTATTATGTAGCGTTGATTTGATTGAAAATATGAATATACCTTCTGAAAAAAACTAAATATCCTTTTATGTAGAAATATTCAATTTGAAGGAGCCACTGGATATAAATTACAAAGATTAGCCAGTAATAATGATTAAAATCTTGGAAATATAGACGTCAATTTTATACTCAAGCTTTGATGAGACCAAGTTTTAATGATTAAGCCTTTGAATAGATTAATGAATTATGGAATGAAGTGGAAACTTATTGGAATAGTCTCGAAGAAGATTACAAATTGGAACTTATTGAATGGATGAATAGATTTACAAATGAAATAATTTTTAGAATTTCAACTAGTGTGAAAAATGATGCTGTTATTTTTCATTATAAAAAGATTGCTCTTGAATATAATATTTTTATGAAAAAGAAAGAGAAAAAATTAAAGGATCTGAAAATTTTATTCAATCGACACTTTTTATGTGAAAGGAATTATTTATTTTTACAATTTAATAAGTTCATGCGTCATTATGTTTCTTTTATTCGTGAAAAAGTGTAAAATAGAGATTATTTATATGATAAAATATATGATATTATTAAAAAACAAAGGAAGATTGAAATTGAGAATACACCCTCATTTGTTAACGTCTCACATAACCGCAAATACGGTACGTGATAATCGTCGGCCGATGCTGATTTATGACGGATAAAGAGATTTTCAGAAGTATAATTGATTTCATAACTGCAGGAACCAGTAATGCAAGTAAAAAAATTTAAAGAATATTGACTTTTTTTTTTTAAAAAAAAAATAAAAATATTTCAGATAGCAAATATGTTTTGCTTTATTGTGTATTATCTTGGACATTATCCTATGGTGAAACAACGTTTTCGAAATGAATTAAATGCAGTTCTTGCCTGTTTGCACTGTAATTCGTCATCTAGTTACTAACCAAATTCTACGCAAATTTGTAAAAAAAAAGCAACTAAATTAGCCGGATTAGCTTGTCTAAGTCTCATTTCTATATATTGTGGCATATGCTCATAAAGATAAGGCAATACATCTGCATAAGGAATACCTTTCTTAATCCTTTTCTCATAAGTATCTGCCCTCCATTACAGTTAGAGCATCTCGATTAGTTCCAACCATTACCTCCCGATACTTTTCCTGTAACCAATTCAGAAATTCAGCTTCAATGTTAATATTTGCATTTCCATTAAATGGATTCTGGGCAGGAACCGGATGAAATCTTCCTGTCGTTTTCCCTTTCGTTTTATTTACTCTTGCAGCTGCATCAAATCCCACAACAGCTAAGGACGTGCTGACTCGTTTATAGTTCTAAATTTAGCGTAGTATGAATCCGCCCATCATAGTATGGAAGTTGTGCAAGTTGTGGATCTATTAATTTATTAGATTAGCCGTGTTTGATGTATTATTAAGTTTAAAATATTTGTCGCGAATTTATTTCCTGAGTCTTCTATTTTTGATGTCGGTTAAATGCCCAGGCCTGGTTAAATTCTACCAAGTCAGTCTCAGCTTTATGCCTTCGAATTATTATCTGAAGAGCACATTTTCTTACCATACCCGTCGCTAATCTGCCTCACATTCCGAGCTTGTGTTAGCATCTGAGTTCTTATTTTTAGGACCTTTAGAAAACAGTAGTGAGAAAGTAAGTATCAAAATTTTTTAAATTAATAAAATTCAGTAAAAATATATAATACTTCTGTACTTTTATTTAACTTAATGAATTAACGTAAGACATCATATTCAATTGATTCTCGATATTAATTAACAACAACTATCTAAAATCGAATTTTCATTAATGCTTCAGGTATTTTATATTGTGTTCATAGGAAATATATCATTTACTAGTACAATATTTGGCGTATTATTATATGAAAGTAACTCCAAATGCTTTGTTGGTACATCATAAGTATCAAGGTTACATAAAACCGATCATAATACTTTTAAATACTAATAAACGTAATTTACTAATATCAAAGTTGAAGTTTCCAGTTTTTGTGGATACAAAATCTTTAGCAAATCGGAATATTTCCCACTTTTTTCGAAGAATGCAAGCTCAGTTTTAGATTCCATATTGATTAGGGAAGGACGGAATTTTTCTGTCGTAGATTTACCATATTCGCAAATGTTTCATAGTGATCAGGATTATCTAATTCATAAATAATATTTTTTGTAATATAATTCTATAAGGTATTCGTAAAATTATCAAAATACCTCGTGATGGCAGATCAGGAAAAAAATTGTAAGTCTTGAAAAGGCATTCTAATAGGATAACATATTTTGCAAGTTGCTTGATTACATTTTTTACCTAAAAAAAAAGTTAGCATTAAATAAATTTTTCTTATGATGTTATCTTTATCACCTGAAAAGAGTATGCTCTATTGCTCTTTCTTGACAATGAGTTTCAATAAATTCTACCGGAGGCTTGTGTTTACGCATTTGTTGCTGTATTGTTAAATTTTAGGTAATGTGGGATCAATTCGCAGTATATTCTTTAAGAAATGAATAACAAAATGTTAAATAATAATACAGATATCTTTATAAATTATAAAAATTTACCTCAAACATGCAAGATCCTCAGTTTCAAATGTTTCATTTTTCCAAATTAAATGTTCTGTACGTTCACGAAGTAATTCTTGAACTACTGTTGTAATGCATTTTGTAATTCTGCTTTTAAGTTTGGATTATCTTTTGATTTTTCACTTATATCTTCTAATGTTTTTAAAGTCTCAAACTCATCTTCAAGTTCATCTGCTTTCTATAGCAACACCTTATAGTCCATAATTAATAACGCTCATAATTCTTTCAGCATGATTACACCAACTGTGATGTGGAGCTGTTCTAACTGCAATTAACATATCAAAATCACCTGTTAAAAATAAAAGTACATTCGTGTCCATCAGTATAAAGTGACAAAATTGAAGGTAAAGATTGATTTTGATATTACCGATTCACAAGATTAAAAAATTCTGTTGAATGCCTTAGAGCACTTACTTGGCTGAAAAACTGTATCCTTATAACATATATACACTTTCCTATATAAAAGGATTCGGATATTCGGATATATTATCTGGTATATTATCAAATTAGTGTAACAGATGGAGTTAATGATAACTTAGTAAAGTCATGATCGGCTGCAGTAATTTTTCCTTCCGCTGGTGCCAAAAGTTTTTTTATTATGAACACCTGCAGACCTCACCAATTGGTACCTTATGTTTATCATGATCTGCTGAGATAAACATGCATAATCTCGATATTTGATATTATTCACGCTCATAGTTCATCTTCACGCAAAATTCAATCTTATCCATCCTTCTGATGGAACTGCATCATCATCAGGCAGAGTGGTCCTTGGTATTTCGTATTTAAACGAGCCATAACTCTATCTAGTAACTCCTGAATATATGAACAGTATCTGCTCGGCGTTCATTAATAACAGTATTATTATGCTAGAAATAGATAAATATAATATTAACATTGATAATTAATTGTATAATACAAAAATATATTTATAATTACCTCATTAAAATATCCATCAAGTTCATTCCAAAATATATCAAATTTGATCCTTGAAATCCGTTATTAATTCTTAAATCAATTATTATTGAAGGATCCTCTAATGACATCATAAGACGTAGTATTTCTTCCATCTCTTTGCTTATTTGATCATTTGCCAATGAAGCATCGCCAGTTAAATCACGATACAACATTCTCAATACTGATTTTTGAGAAGTGACGAACTAGTGAATACTAAATACGAAATTGGATCAGTTTTGAACTAAAAAATATGCTATTACTTGCTTTTGAAATACATTATTCCTCATCTGTTTAGTACAACATATTGGTATAATATCATTTATACGAGAAATCATCTGTACTTTAAAGAGTTTCATAATATTGTATCAGGTGCTCTCCATATAAAGTTAAGAGTTCCAATTCCCATGTGAATACCTAGAATTAATACAGATATTTCAATAAAATAATTACTTATTTAAAAGAATAGAATTACTAAAAACTTACCGATACAATCCTGCAGGTACAGACAATTGAATATCTTGGATAAAATTATGCTTTTTTATAGGATCGTTTGGTGCATACTGATTAAGATCAAGCAATCAAATAATTCTTTTCTTAAGATCAGAATCTAGTCCAGAGTATCTCTCATCAATTTCTCCAACATGTTTAGAAATAAGACGAATACTACAATTGGAAGATGGCTCACGCGCTGGATTTTTACTTTCATAAGATAATCACTATACTTTTCATCATTGATGTGAATTCAAAAACATTTGATACTACTTCTTGCCAAGAAGCTTCGGATGCTCATGGTCCAACTAAAGAAAGTTCTATAGAATTAGCTAAATGAAAAAGTTCTAAGTGTATAAGCTGTGGTTTTTTCCTTCATTCTTTGATAGTATTAATTATAGACACCATCCTGCAGAGAGTTAAATAATGAAGGAAGACATCCTCTTGAACGCAATTTTCCAAATATGGATCAATGTACCCAGATAGCCTTAGTTAAACACTCAACAAATCATGTTCCATTGGTAAGATTATCACTACTGAACCAACCGACATTTTTATTTTGTAAAAGTTGAATAATATGATTGTATAACAATATATTACGCGTTTCTTCTCTTTTTTGTACTAGAAATTGAAGTCTGGAATCCATTAGCCTTTCAAAAGCACTAGGAAATTGTATTTGTGGTGGTGATGTTAATATCAGATGGAAGGAGAACGAATTTGAGTTGTGTAAATTCTAATATTTTCATTAATAACAGTTTACTGTCTAATCCTTCGTGTTCTGTAACCCAAGGTCCGTATCCTACCTCAACACGTACATTATGGTGTAGATAATTCCAGAAGTTAAATGAGTCAAATAAAGTTAAAAAGAGAGCGTTTTCTTCAACTCCTTTCCAGTTAAAATCTTAGTACCCTCATTTATTTGAACTACTATAAAAAAACATGTGAGTTCTTTGTTTAAGCAATGTTGCGTTATATTTAAAACATATACTTGCATAATTGTTCTACGCATTTGCATTTTAACGTGTGCGATAAAAAATTCAAGGTGTCAGAATTATCATATAAAAATCACATGGTATTTAAGTTTTTTGTTAATTACTGCGCTAAATCTGTGTTGCACGAAGATCATACGACAGAAGAAATAATAAATACCGAACTTATTCATTTTTTCCACGTACTGATAAATTACTTTTTTTACCGAGGGAATTATATTATTTCTGCGTCATAACAAGCAGTCTATCAAGAGTCTATCTTATTAGTCACGATGTATTCAGAAAGGTATACACCCCAGAAACTCTCTTAAACTTCTTTTGAATTCGACATAGTTCAAACTATTAAATTCGTTTCTAATGTCTTACTCTAAAATCATTCAGCTCTTCCATCTCGTTAACCATCGAGTACAATGCAAAAAATATATATTTATATTTATATCTATACTTTTGACGTTAGATCTTTTTTTATTTCTATTTCTCGAAATCATATATATACTCTTCACATCTCCCCACACCTCTTTTGAAGAGTCTATTTTCGTTCCCATTGTGGTGTACGTTTTGATTTCCTCTTTATACCAGGAGATATAATATACGTCCGGCGTAAAAACAAGAATAACGTTCTCTTCTTAACAAGACCGTGGAAATAGGAACTCGGCCTAAAATTGATATTTCAGATGATGAGCTTGTTCCTCGACCTTTAGTTGTAGAACGCCTTAAAAAAATTTTCAACCGAATAGGAATGGGACCGGGAAAATTACGTTAACCAGAATTGCATCAAGGGAAGTAGGGCAGGATAAGGACAAGGGTACAGGCGGAATGGTGTCATATATGTTGAAGTTCCTTCTGATCCTAAAGATAAAGATGTAGAGCACTTTGGCAAAGCATTTGGGAAATCTCTTAATTTTAATGAAGAAAGTATTAGGTGAGTGCTGGTCATCGAGAATACATTGCAGTATTTGTCAGCAGTGAAGGAAGTATTACTTACTGATCATAATTCTTATTTTAGCTCGTAGTGCCTGGTCACGTGCGAAACATCCAGTGATTGAAATTGGCGACCTTGGCAACGAAGAATCAATGAAATATCTAACTGGGAAGCGCAAGATCAATGAAGTAGAGGCAAAAATATTATACGAATTGGTTGGTGGTCGAATTGTAGAGCTAAAGACTGGCGGATGATTTTCTTAACGGACAATCCTTTGAAGGTATTCATTATTTGCTTCATATGAGTTGTTTAATTCTGCTTTGGATTATTGTTTTAACTTTTTTTTCGTGTAGTCATTAAACAGTCAATCTTAGCTGAAGTCGAGAAGAAATTCAACACTGTACAACTACTCCGAAAGCAATTGTATCATGAAGTAGGAAGAAAGCAATCAAGGCTTAAAGAGTTGGACTTTACGACATTTATGGAGTTTTTTGATAATTATGAAGAAGCTGACAAAGTGTTGGAGACCAATATATTTTCATATCATCCCGAAAAAAACATTGTGACTTTCCGGTCTCAATCCGTAGAATCTTATGTTCGAGAAAAGGCTGACATATAGAGTATATGGTTTACATTTTTAAAAATATAGGAGTTGCATAGAAATTTTCAATATAAATAATGTAATGCGGTAAAAAAATGAACCCCGATTTGGGTAAAACTTTATTGATAATTTTTAGAGTAATAATGTCAGAGAAGCAAGTGAAATATATGATGCTATCATCAAAGAGGGAAGGAGTATGTGGATCATAGGTCATTTAATGCAAGTCTCTCAGCATCAAGTTATTTCTTTGCTCTCCCAGGTTTCTTATAAATTTCTACAACTAACTTGTTTCTATCTATATCGCTAAATACGAGAATCTCACTATCATAATCTTTCTCTACCTAATTTCTCACTGATATCTTCTTCTATATATATCTTTTACCATCACATAAATAATATTCTCCACAAGAGAATTACATGATATTTAACATTACTGCGCATTTTTTATCAAGTTAGTGATTATCTGATCCAAGTGGGACTTTAGGTCTCACTTTTTTTATTTATCATACACCTCGAAAAAATATTCTCAATACAATGTATAGTCTTTTCAGCCGAATTCTCACATCAAATTTTGTGATCTATGCCGAAAATACCACATGTTTTGTCTAGGGATGGAATCGGTTCAAAATGAGTCGACTCGAGTCGATTCTGGAACTGATCTTAAATTTTAAAAAATCCGGATCTTTTGGGCTTAAAACTACTTTCAACCATAAAAACCGTTCTGAGAATTCGAACCGACTTCAAGAACTGACTCACGATCATTTTCTGATTGATCATCATCACATGCTTTACTTGTGTCTTAAATTTGACGCACGTAGCTCATATTTATTAAAGCCGAATTAGAATCGACGAGATTTCTATCCCTAAGTTTTGTCACAGGATATTTGGAAATTTCTAGCTAAAAAAGAAATACATTCCTAGATTTTTTAACATAGTGTGATTTAATTTTTTTAATTTTTTTTTTAATAATTTAACACGTGATTATGATATTTGTAGATAGTTATAGAACAAAATAATATTAAATTTTTTATAAATTAACAATTCTGAGAAATGATAAAATTAAGATAGTACTTAAAAAGTTAACATAATTAACTCAATTGTAGTTAAAAATAATTATTATAAATTCGAATGTCATGTTTTTATTAGTTCAAAATAAACCACATTCATATTTACATTTTATAATCCTAACTCCCCTTTAAACATGGTATTATAGTATAGACAATATGTTACATATATTACGTAAGATTAGTTTAAGGAATCCACCTCATGTAAAGATATATAAACCAATCAAATTATAAAGTTTAGTGTAACGTAAGATTTTTATGAAAAATTACGTAATAAATGACAATTTAAAAAGAAAAAAATAAATAAATTAACATGTAATAAATATATAGAAGAAAATATTTTTGCTCATATAATAAATCGTCTAGGACTCTCCATACTTTATGTATATATTTTTTCTTTAAGAAGTACTGCTTCACTAATTTTCTCTTAATAAATAAAAACCGGTATATTTATGGAATTAAACTTTCAAGTTTATTACATGATAGTACAATTACCGGTTTTTTCTGTTGGACCTTCCGTAACTTCAGTAGTAGGTGGTTTTGTGATAATCGTAATTGGATTCATCTTTTTTAGAAAGTTTGTCAGTTGAGTTGTTTAAGAATTTATTTGGTAAAACTTTAAAAAAGCTGACAAATTATTTTTGAGTAATAAGTCTTTTTAAAATGTTTTTAAATATGTGGTTTTTTTTTGAAAAATTTGAAATTCCAAATTAACTATTTTATACTTTTAATTTTACTGCGTATATACGTATATACGAAATGACATTGTTCAAATTATTATTGTTCATTGATTCGTTGAACAATAACTATTCATGTATCATGATTTCGAAACAGTGTAACCTGCGATATTATTTTAATCCGTTTCATTAAAAAGGAGCCTAAAACCTTAACTGTTAACAATCGAAAATCTAAGGCGCATAATGCGCTTGTATTTAATATTCTTGGTATTCCAAATATAAACTAGGAACGGGAAGTCCGAAGTTTTATTGTTGTATATCGTCATGTGCCGAACGGACCGACGGACAGACCTTTGCATTAGTCCTTCGTTACACTTCGGACTAGTATTGTCATCTGACGTTACATAATTCCTTTTTGGAAACCTGTAAAAAAGCATAATGCGGCCAGAATTATATGGAGTATGACCTAGAATCCCAAAAATTAAATGACGCAAAAAAAATTATGGTATCACCTATTCTTTTTTTAAAACAATTTGTTTACACTTCAGAATACAAGAATATTAAATACAAGAGTATTATGCGCTTTAGATTTCGATTGTTAGTAGTTAAGGTTTCAGGCTCCTTTTAATAAAACAATATCGTGAAAAATCATGATAATATCAGATATAATGAATAATCATTCAAAAAATAATATTAATTTGCACAATATGAACGATTTTTCGCGCAGTAAAATTAAAGTATAAAATAGTAAATTGGAAGTTTAAAATTTCAAACCACATTTAAAAAAGATTTTATTGCTCAAAAATAATTTGCCGCCTTTTTTTAAAAGTTTCACCAAGCAAATTCTTAAACAACTCAACAGACAAACTTCCTAAAAAAAATGAATCCAATTACAGTTGTCACTAAACCACCTACTACTGAAGTTACGGAAAGTCCAGAAAAAACTAGTAATTGTACTATCATGTAATAAACTTGATAGTTTAATTCTATAAATATACCGGTTTTTATTTATTAAGAGAAAATTAGTGAAGCATGGTTTCTTAATATATACATAGTAAAGTATGGAGTGTCTTATAAAACTTATTATATTATAGTATGAGCAAAATATTTCTCCTTAGGCCATTCCAAATTAATTTTTAGTTTAACGTCCTCCTCCCCCCACTCTATTTTTGAAAATTTCAAAATAATTTAAACACATATGTTCACATATGTTTAAAGCACCCCCCTCTCTTTTTTGAAATTGGGTGTACCGAATATTTCCAATTTCACCGAAAACTTCCGAAAATTTTAAATGTTTAAATTATTCCCTCCCCCCCAAATTTTTCAGCCAGAAAGGACGTTAAACTAGTAATTATTAATTGGAATGTGCCTTACATATATTACGTTAATCTACTCTACATATATTACTTTTTTTTATTCTTAATCTTTTTTCTTTAAAAAAATATTTTAACATGTAACATTTTCTATAATTTAATTATAATAAATATCTAAAATTTCTTATCTCCATTTTGTAACATTTTCTATTATTTAATTATTATAAATATTAAAAATGTCTTATCTCTATTCTTTTGTAAGTTGTAAATTCACAAATTTAGCCCTATAAAAAATTTTATCAGTTATTTATGTAAAAACTCTGTAAAAATGAGCCTTTCACAGATCCATTCACGGAAAATGTAAATAATTTGATAAATCCGTGATATAAGATTATTAATTCCGGAAATATGAGCCTTTTACAGAAAAAGACGAATATAAAAATGGATTGACTTTTTTTACAGGGTCATTCATACACCTCGAAAATTATTCTCAATACAAGTATGATAGTCTTTTTAGCTGAATTCTCATGTAATTTTTAGGTAGATCCATGTAATTCCAGTTCAGAAATATATCATATCGAATTTTGTGATCTACGCCGAAAATACCATGTGTTTTGCTGTATTTGGAAAATTCAATATTCGATGTTGTGGATTTTAAGTGGAAAAAATTTCCTGATATATGCAAAATTGTTTTAAAAAAATTTTCGCTGCTGCACAAAAGATAACAATTCTGAGAATATGATAGCATAATTAACATAATTAACTCAACTGTAGTTAAAGAATAATTATTATAAATTCGAATGTCATGTTTTTATTAGAGATGAACAAGTTCAAAATAAATCACATTCCAATATATTTACAAACTCTTGTTTATTATAGTAATGACAATATGTTACATATATTACGTAATATTAGTTTAAATGTTATCCCCACCTCATGCAAGATATAAACCAATCAAATTATAAAATTAAGTCACATGATTTAATATTAATATAACGCAAGATTTTTATGAATTACGTAATAAATGACAATTTTTTAAAAGAAAATTGATCGAGAATAAAAAAAAAAAAAAAATTAACTTGTATTAAATATATAGAAGAAATATTTTGCTCATATAATATAATAAGTTTTCTAAGACACTCCATACTTTACTACTATGTATATATTAAGAAGTAATGCTTCACTAATTAAATAAAAACCGGTATATTTATAGAATTAAACTTTTCAAGTTTATTACATGATAGTACAATTGCCAGTTTTTTCTGTTGGACCTTCCGTAACTTCAGTAGTAGGTGGTTTAGTGACAACTGTAATTGGATTCATCTTTTTTAGGAAGTTTGTCTGCTGAGTTGTTTAAGAATTTGTTTGGTGAAACTTTAAAAAAGCTGACAAATTATTTTGAGTAATAAGTCTTTTTTAAAATGTTTTTTTCAAATATGTGGTTTTTTTTTTTTTTGAAAATTTGAACTTCCAAATTAACTATTTTATACTTTTAATTATACTGCGCATATACGAAATGACATTGTTCAAATTATTATTGTTCATTGATTCGTTGAACAATAACTATTCATGTATCATGATTTCGAAACAGTGTAACCTGCGATATTATCTTAATTTGTTTTATTAAAAAGGAGCCTGAAACTTAACTGTTAACAATCCAAAATCTATGGTGCATAATGCGCTTGTATTTAATATTCTTGGTATTTTGAAATATAAACTAGGATATTAAGTCCGAAGTGCTGTTAAATGTTTTATTGTTGTATATCGTCATGTGCCGAACGGACCGACGGAAATTTTTGTGTGACCTTTGCATTGGTCCTTCGGACTAACAAATAATTGTATTGTCATCTGACGTTACACAATTCCTTTTTGGAAACCTGTAAAGCATAATGCCGGCCAGAATTATGGGATGATATTTACATTTCCTAGAATCCCAAAAATTAAATGACGCAAAAAAAATTATGGTAATCCTATTCTTTTTTTTAAAAGAAAAATACAATTTGTTTATATTTCAGAATTCAAGAATATTAAATACAAGCGCATTATGCGCTTTAGATTTTGGATTGTTAACAGTTAAGGTTTCAGGCTCCTTTTTAATAAAACAATATTGCTAGGTTACACTGTTTGAAAATCTGACAATATTAGATAATGAACAATCATTCAAAAAACAATATTTATTTGCACAATATGAACGATTTATAAAACATTTTCGTTTCGTATATGCGCAGTAAAATTAAAAGTATAAAATAGTTAATTTGGAAGTTCAAATTTTCAAAAAAAAAAACCACATATTTAAAAACATTTTAAAAAAAGACTTATTACTCAAAAATAATTTGTCAGCTTTTTTAAAGTTTCACCAAACAAATTCTTAAACAACCAACAGACAAACTTCCTAAAAAAGATGAATCCAATTACGGTTGTCACTAAACCACCTACTACTGAAGTTACGGAAGGTCCAACAGAAAAAACTGGTAATTGTACTATCATGTAATAAACTTGAAAGTTTAATTCTATAAATATACCGGTTTTTATTATTAAGAGAAAATTAGTGAAGCATGACTTCTTAATATATATATAGTAAAGTATGGTGTCTTAGAAAACTTATTATATTATATGAGCAAAAATATTTATCCTGTACATATTTTACATGTTAATTTACCCTACATATTACTTTTTTTATTCTTGATCTTTTTTTAAAAAAATATTTTAACGTGTAACATTTTCCATTATTTAATTATTATAATAAATATTTAAAATGTCTTATCTCTATTTTGTAACATTTTCTATTATCACCACTAAAAGATTTGTTGATCGATTTAAATATAAAAAAGGAAAAGTCTAAATGTAAGACAATAGAAAATATATTACATAATTAGCAAATAATTATTAAAAAGGAAATCACTCACAAATCTTATATAAAACACATATATATACACATATATACATTTCGTACATTTAGCCTGTCGACCCCGCCGAATGAGATGCATCCACATAGATTGTCACATAGTATTTTTCTTTTTTTGTAAAAATTGTAGGATAGTGATTTTAAACTATCTTTAATAGTTAACTAAAAATAATTGTAATTTATTATTTTTTTTTTAAAAAAAAAAAATCAATTTTTCTAAAATGATGATCAAAAAACTGAAATGTGTTACACAATATTCCAAAAAAGTCCATTTTTTATGTCGATCACTTAATTCCGGCCAAAATTATAAATCACGTGACACCTGTGATGATCGCCGCCAGCGATAAATAGCAAACTCCTTTAAAAATTAAAAATGTTATAAACAATCATATTAGAAGAAAATGATTTATGTTCTTCGTATTAAATTTAATAAAATAAACAATTTATAATAATTTATTCTAATCTATTGAAGGAAATAATAGGTTTATGAAAGGAATTTTTTGTGTTCTAGTCTTGGGTGTAATTATTATATGTTCTTTAATTTGCTTGTAAAATAAATTCCGCAATATCGCATGGTATCACTTTATAAAACTAAAAAAAAAGTGTTCTAATGTGACTTGTATTATGTTCATGTTTCTAAATTAATTTACTATTTCAAACGTTAAGTTTTTTTTACATTCTTAATCAATTTATAACCAGTTTTCTTTTCTTGACCATTATTTTTAGAATTGCTATTTATAAAATTTGTTCTATACTTTCTAATTTTGTACCCGATTTAAATGCATCAGGGATCGGTTCATACTTTACTGTTAATATTAAAAAATAAATTTAAAATAATATATGATATATTAGTAAAATAAATAGCTATTTTATCGATTCTCAATAAATTAAATTTACTTACGAAATTGTCCAAGATGCAACCCAAAATTTCTTTGACATCTGATCGAATTCCATGTGGATAAAATCAATATTATCCAGGATATTACTGTTAAACTATAAAACACATCGAAAAATGCGCCATATTTAAAACAATATAGAAAAGAAAATGGTTTATGAGTACTATAACAAACATCTTTTGTTGCATAATATAAAAAGATGGCTTGAAAGATGTTCCCAAAATATACGATGTACATCATCCATTTTTTCTCATCTCTTACCTAATAGTAAAGAAAATATGTTATTAAGAAAATTTATGATAAATTTTACAGTTAATAATTTATTTTGATACTTACACCCTTCAACATAAAATACGCATAATATATAATTACGATATTAAATGGGACAAAAAAATTAATAATTCTCATACCGCGTAGATTTTTTTCTAATATGCTTACAATCCAAACCGTGTATATATAAAAAACTGTATACAATCCTATAATCATGATTTTCGCATGGAAAATTGGGAATTGTATTTGGTATATAGCATCCATGCCTAAATAATAAATAAAAAAAATATTAGAATTTTGTGGATAAAAGAACTAATTATTATTTTTTTTTTTTAAAAAAAAAATTAGCGCTGCATTTATTTATTATGAGAACTAATTGTTATTCACTTACTTATTATATCTTTATCATTTATGTATGGATATTTATGTCTTATAGGCCATATCCTAATTAATTATACAAAATTTTGTAAGTTTTTTACTACATATAAAATATAAATATAAAATATTGGTGTAAATTACTTTTTTGACCAAATATGATATAATATTGTGCAATAAAATATCGTGGATATAATTAAAAATATAAGTAAGAGTACGCCTGATGTATAGAATGTTACATTTGTCGGAAAGAAACAAAATTCTGATGGTAAATCCGAACAAGTGTTTCTTTGCGTGTAAAAAAGGAACACGCCTACGATAAGAGGAAAGGAATGTACTACAAGGAATGAAATTCCATGTAAGATTGTTTTACTGTAAAACTATAAATGAAGTAGAATGTCAAAAAAAATTGATATTTATGATAAGCAAATTTATAAATAAATAAAACTTGCCATTGTGATTCCAGAAATAATAGGAAAGAGGAGCAGTGCAAGAGATGCAGCATTAGTAATAAATCTTCCAGATACTAATAAATAAATAGTAAATAAAAATGTGTATCCAGTCATGTCAATTAAATATGCGTAAAGAAGTATTTTTTCAGAAATTTGAAGTTTCTTATAAAAAATTCGAAGAATGCCTTGAAGCGTATCATCTTCTCTTCTTATTACCATTTTTGTAATACTAATTTCAATGTTTGGTTGATTATAAATTTATAAAATTTACTTTTTGAGTTTAGAATTTTTAGCAAATTATGTATTATGTAGAGATTTTTTTATCAAATACAAAATTTTAACATTGGCAAATTTATGACCATTATATATAATTTTTAACAAAGATGTTTTTTTTAATTGTTCGTTTCGCTTCTTTGTAAGCAGAAGTAATACGGCGATCCCTACAAATTTCTCCAGGTTGTGACAAATAGAGTCACACCAGGAGCGGATTTTACTGTGTCATTAATTAATGATTGCTAGACAAACAAAACCGTATTCTGTATAAAACATGCTTATTGATCTTTTTTTTTTTGAACGTCAACAAAGCCTTTTGTTTCATGTGTTCTAAGTTTTAAGACAAAGATATTGTTTAGTATTAAATTTTGAAATTGTTGGTGTGCTTCCCTTTTCATTTTCCGAAATTAAACTCGAACTGTAAACATGGTTTCAACATGAAATCATTTTTTTTATGTAAAGGAGCATCGTTCTCTTTAAAATAGAGATAGATTAACATATTTCGATAATTATATATGCATTTTATAAAATAAGAAAAGGATTTTTTAATGATATCTCCTAAGTATACCAAATGCATAATTTAATAATTAAAACGCAAAAAAGGAAATAATAGTAATGAATCATGCGAACGAGTGAAAATTCAACCGGATTAGATTTCGCTTAATTTTTACATAGAATTAATAAAATTATGCTTGTCCTTATTGAACGTATCTCCAAAAATGTCGATCATCTACTTTTAAAGCTTAGAAACTACCATGCGACTACGATCAACAACCAAGGGTCTTATTATTGCATTTGCAATTTTACAATTTGTGAAACAAATATATTTTTAAAATGGAAATACGTTTCAAATGCAAATACATAATGTTTGAAATACATCCTTTTTACGATAAGTTTGTAGCACCATTGGAATGAACACACATTTTTAGTATAGTAAAATTCTTTATTTTAAATTATGACGAGATATTACTTTGCATCGTGCGTGAAACTTGATGTTTAAAAAAATCGAAACTGCAAATTATTCAAAAAAGCTTGTACGCCTTCATTTCTTGCATAAAAAAAATCGTTGTGCGACGGTGTACCCCGCGAATTTAAATTGGAGGCTTCTTTGACTAATTTAGTAGATGGGATATAAGAATATTTCCTACTTTGAGTTTTTAAGCTTCTGGTAGTTTATGCAGATTTTATCATAAAGCTGCTTTTATATATAGCACCTGGGTTATTTATTCATTGACACTGCGCCAAAATCATGTGATTCATCCGTGAACGTCATAGTCGTCATACGGTCATACAAAAGTGAGAGCCACTACACTTTTTAATTTACTGTAAAAACGATTTCACTATAGTACCTATTTTACTATTGTAAATATATAACATTGTAAACATACTTTATTTGCATATATATTTAATAAAGCAAACAATGCTATATATTACCTTGCTACGCTAGCTAACTATTAAATTATACATTATTAAGTATTGACAATATGATTCTATATATAAAATGTATAAAAGTATCTGGAAATAAATATGTTTCGCTAAAGGTAATTTGAAAAAAGTCCAATAAAAAACGAACTTTTCCTTAAAATGAAATAATCCAAGGAAAGGTAGCCTCCTACCGAATTCTACACGTTTAAGGACTCCAAAAAACAATCTGTCCAATAACAAAAAGGTTTGAAGAAGCTGGTTTCCAATATTAAGAAAAAAGTAAAATTCATTACGAAACTTACCATTACNAAGTACCGAAAAAAATTCTGAAAAATAGGACAATAATTCGGTCCAAAAAGACCGAAAAAAATAATATAAGTCTTAAAAGATTATTTAATAAAATATATAATATAATAATTTTTTAGTTTTGGAAAAAAAACCTAGCTGAAATCGGCGTTTATTATGATTTGTATACACCCATTTTTAAGCTTTCAGTTAATTAGATGTGTAGCCTTAACGACTTAACATTTCAATGTAAAATTTTGACATAAAAACAAAGTTACGAGGCGATTTCTTATATTTAAATAAAAAAAAACTTACATCCAATATAGTAGTTTATCAAATTTAAGATTAAAATGGGTATAAGAGACAGAGCTTACCGTCTCCAATCTCCAGGTACCAAATCAAACCCCTTCCATACCTAGATTTATATTATTACATCTAGGACAACATAAATACAAAAAAGTAAAGAATAAGGACGTTTCCAATATTAAGAAAAAAGTAAAATTCATTACGAAACTTACCATTACCATTGAGGGAGCATTTTAAGTTCATGTATCCGTTCTTCTGTATCCAGAATCAAAATCAAATTTTCATTCTGATTCATTACTATATGCCAATAGTGATACAATTCCTGTCAAAATAGTTCCCACTGAAGTCTCGCAAACCCTAACCTAATCCTAACCATAACCATAAATGTCAAAAGGTCCAGCTGCGTGCCAAGGAAATCTTTAAAAAAAAAGAAAAATGAAAACGAAACGTTAGTTAAACATTTCGTTAAATAAAAAAAATGAAAAAATTTTAATCTGAAAGAACCTAAGAAAGGTACCGTTGAAAATTTTACACGTCCAAAGGCCTGACCTGTCTAAAAAAAAAAAGAAAAAAGAAAATGAAATGTCAGTTAACGTCTCATTAAAATAAAGAATTTAATCCAAAAAAATCTAAAAAAAGTAAAAGAAACCAACCATTGGAAATTTCACGTGTCCAAAAGCCTGACCGTCTAAAAAAAAAGAAAGAAACAAGAAAACAAAATTTTAGTTAATGTTTCGTCAAATAACAAAATGAATGAAAAAAAATTTAACTTACCGCAAGAAAATACAAAAGAACCGTCTAAAAAAGAGAAGAAACAAACTGTTAGAAACAGTTCGTTAAAAGATGGAAAAAACTTTACCGAAATGTCTCCCAAGGTAACTTGTCTAAAGAAAGAAAAAAAACGAACCATTAGAACACTTCATTAAAAATAATGAAAAAATCGAAAAAAATCTTACCAGAATCCTGATATCCCAATAATTTTTGTCTAATAAAGGAAATATCAAAACGTTACTAAACGTTTCGCTAAAGATTTTGTTAAAAAGGGTGAAACAAATACCCTATAAAAAATTTTATCCGTTATTTCTGTAAGAACTCCGTGAAAATGAGCCTTTCACGGATCCATTCACGGAAAATGCAAATAATTCGATAAATTCCGTGATATAAAGTTAATAAATCCGGAAATATGAGCCTTTTACAGAAAAAAGATAACGGATTGACTTTTTTTACATTCACGGTAAATGTAAATAATTCGATAAATTCCGTGATATAAGGTTATTAATTCCGGAAATATGAGCCTTTTACAGAAAAAGACGAATATAAAAATGGATTAACTTTTTTTACAGGGTCATCATACACCACACCTTGAAAAATATTCTCAATACAATGTACAGTCTTTTTGGCTGAATTCTCATGAAATTTTTGTTCAGAAATATGAGATTCATATCGAATTTTGTGAAAATTTGGATTAAATTAGCTTAATTCAGAAAAGATAGATTATCTACGCCGAAAATTCCATGTGTTTTGTCACAGGGTATTTGGAGAATTCAATATTCGATGTGTGGATTTTAAGTGGAAAAAATTTCCTGATGTATGCAAAATTGTTTTAAAAAATTTCTAGCTAAAAACATCTTTTTAATCTAAACTAGCGTAACCCGTCGCGTTGCACCGGATGATACTTGCCCATCAAGTAAAAGAGTAATAATAACACACTAATATTTTATTTGCCATGCAATGTGAATAGGTCTAGTTTTTTACTATTATTATGATGGCATTAGTAGGAAATAAATGTAATAAATTACACAATTTATATGATTATAAATAACAATGAATTGTGTGCAAGTGTTATACAGTATATGAAATATTATTATTAAATGCAAATTTTATTATCACGAAACAAATGTTGCAGTACTGTGAAATTTATAAATTCATACAAAAACAATTTTTATAAGTAGTTTATTGTTATATTGTTACAAAAAAAAAATCTTTTTTTTATCTTAAAAAATTCCATTGTAGCATTAAAAAAAATCACATCCTCTAAGAAAAAAAATATCTCACTAATTAATATGAAAAAAAAATTTCCAGAAAAATTAATTATAACGAATTGTTACAAAAAATAAACAAATAAGTAATTATGTTAGTCTATTATTGAGTTTGATACAAAAGATACAAAAATATTATTATTATTATAATAAGAATCGGGAAAAAGGAATAACAGAAAAAATCGAAAAATAAAAGCAAAATTCGAAAGAAAAAGAAAAAAAATTTGGGGGATAAGAAATAATCGGTTTAAAAAAAAAAAAAAATAAGTACCGAAAAAAATTCTGAAAAATAGGACAATAATTCGGTCCAAAAAGACCGAAAAAAATAATATAAGTCTTAAAAGATTATTTAATAAAATATATAATATAATAATTTTTTAGTTTTGGAAAAAAAACCTAGCTGAAATCGGCGTTTATTATGATTTGTATACACCCATTTTTAAGCTTTCAGTTAATTAGATGTGTAGCCTTAACGACTTAACATTTCAATGTAAAATTTTGACATAAAAACAAAGTTACGAGGCGATTTCTTATATTTAAATAAAAAAAAACTTACATCCAATATAGTAGTTTATCAAATTTAAGATTAAAATGGGAATTTTCTTTAAACTTGCTAGTTAATGTAAAAAAAAAACCTCGTAACTTTGTAGTTGTAGTATGAAAAACTGATTTATGTTTAAAAAGTTTAGAAGTTCGAACTGTCTATTTACACAGTTTTATAGTGTCAATCAAATTTTCATCAAAAAATCATTTATTAGTTGAAGATCAATGTACTGTAACTATATAATATATATAGTTTTGATTTAATTAGTTGACAGAACACCCAATGTGATATCATAAATTTCATTTTATTTCATTTTTTTTGAATAAACGCGATGCAAACCTTATGTAGTACTTGTTATAGAATCTTTAAAGCACACGTCCTATGCGTGTATTTTTGCCTGTTCTAGAAAGGGTTTAGAATACTAATTTTGACTTT